TACGAGTGGGGCTTCTGCTCAGCAGGGACACTGATGTTTCCATCTTCCTTCCCTCTAAGTGGTTTTGCTCAACAGGGTGCATGTTAAAGGTGATATTTCTATTATCATCAGCTAGTGTATCATAATGGTAATAAAAGAAGCCAAAAATTGCAGTTCTCTCTTCTATAATCAGTTTGCTTCTGCATTGGTCAATGAGAATCCTGCTTCAGAGTTCAAGAGGACACTTGGGTTCTGTCTCCATGTCCCTAGATAGCCCAGCAGGACCTCCATGATGATCTAGGCTTCATTATGTCAGGTTGTATATAAACAGAGAGTAAGCCATAAATCTGAATTACTTAAATCCTTGCAATACCAAGAAAGTAAGTAGAGCCTGCAGCTTTGCAGATGAGGGAGTCGCTTTGTGAAAGAGCTGGCCGTAGAAGGTAAAACTTGAGCTCCAGAAGGGTCCAGGAACTTCACTGCTGGTGGCCAAGTAAGGAATTGCAGAATATCTGAACCGTCGAAGGATCGACAGCTTGATAAATATGCATATATACATTAGTGCTGGTTCTTCTAATTAGAATGAATTCTTCCAGGAGGCAGTTGGGGAATAAAAGCAGAGCAGTGACCAGCCACAGACAGTGTCTGAGAGCCACCTTTGTTCTATCTGGAGCTGGGAAGGAGGTGTGAGGAAACAGGATGCTCCTCCCAGCAGGCCTCTAAGTTTTTGAAAGGAATTGTAAAAGACCAAATTGAAGAGGAAAGAAGCACCCACTTTTGCCTGCCATTAACCCCTTTAGGCTGCTTTGAAAAGAATTTGGGAGTATTTCTGCCTGGTACCAATTCATTCTCACATCAGGAACCACTCCACTTCAGAAGAGGAGTATGAAGGAGTCTCTCTTAAGCCTGTGAGCAGATCCTTTTAATGGACCAGGAGCAGTGACACACTCTGTATTTCTATGCTATAAATCCTTGAAACCTGTTCCACTGGTGACAGATGGCCTGGTTCAGGATTAATGAAACCAAATATCTGTGCCACTGCATCAAACAGCTGAAGAAACTGGCATCAGATCCCCAACCAGAGAAAAATGTCCATACTGCCCTACTTTTTCCTTCTGGAAATTTTGCTGGGGCCGGGGAGGAAGACAGACTTGGCCATTTGTCTGGGATTCCTGGGCAGCGAGCAGTCCTCCCAGAGCAATCCTTTGCAGCAAGCTGCTTCTCCCTGAAGTGTGGACAAATGGCCATTGTATGTGGGACTGGCTGTAGCAGCAAGGGACAAGCGTGCCTCAGGGCTCCGCATCCCAGGGCACCCGGGACATGTTGTAACACGAGCCAGGTGCCCTTGTCACAGTGGTGCCTGGTCAGTTTGTGTTGGATGTGCTTTGTGGGGTGCACGTGGCTGTGTTTCAGGGTTCCCCAGACAGGAATCCTGTAGCCAGCTGTGACAGTGTTAGTCAGCTTCAGTGGGGCACTGGGTAGCTCCAGGGCAGAGCCACACAACTCATGGGCACAGCAGTGGCACGAAAGTGCTTGCCACAGAGGTTCAGTTGGCTACATACTCCATGCTGAAACCATCACAGAAACAGAAAATGAACAAGGAGGCGTTGTATCTGCACAGTAAAAATACCCAGTAAATTAATATTTTTAATTGCTGTTACACACAGAAGAAATGAGAAAAAAATACATTCCAAAAAAAAGAATTAAAATAGTAAAATCAGCATAAAAATGTGTTAAGAAAAGATCCCAGATCAAGTGGCTGTACTGCATGTGGTGACCTTTACAATCACGGTAAAGGAAGTAAGTGCTAGAGACTTTCAGATGTGGCAAAATGCTTGACTCCCTGGGGGAGAGCAGCTGCTTCGGTCACATCTTTCAATGCACTCTGCCTGGAATGCGTGGGAGAGGGGCTGGAGCGAGAGGCTCACGTGGGTGCAAGACACGGAGATTAGTGTTCAGGACAGACCAGTCAGTCTGCGGCCTCAGTCAGGCAAAACTACTGCTTACCCAATGCATTTGCTTTTTCCTTCCTTGTTTGGTTTTTTGTTTGTTTGTTTGTGGTTTTTTTGTTTGGTGTTTTGTTTGTTTTCTAGATTTTGGAGTTTATTTAGCAAAGCGTCAGGTTCTGCTGGCCTGACCCTGCCAGCACCGTAGGTTTGGAGCAAGCCAAACATACAACGTGTGTTTGTACTGATTCAGCACTGTCACCCAATGGGCTGGCTTTGGTTACTTGCTTTTTATCTGTCAGGAAAAGCTTTCTTTTATTTTACGATGCTCTCTCTGTCTTTTGACTGATCTGAATTGGTCCAGTCATGCTCCCATTGCAGTCGCAGTAGCTCAGCCCCTGCATCCCTCTTACATGAGACTGGCCTTATGCTTCAACCTCACTGTTGAGCTGTCACACCACTCCAGTAGCTCATCCTACAGCAGCGTTGTGTCACCACAGAAACAATACAAGCCCCAGACGATTGAGAA